TTCTTAGCAATATGGGCTGCTTCAAACAAAGGAAAATAGAAATTTCCAAATTTATCTGGCAGGGGAGAAAACCTAGGATAAAATTTAAAATATTAACGGATATGAAGGCAAGAGTGGTTTTTGCCCTGCTGGACTTAAAACTATACTATGAAGCAACCTGTTTGGCTTAGTTAAAAGATTGTTTATTATGGAAAAATGTTAGACTTTGGTAACAGTTTTAGCTGGCATGCTTACTTATGGTATGAAAAGGTGAAGGTAAATAAATATTTTCTGAACCACCCAATAAGAAGTCGTCTGTATGTGGTATGGAATAAATATAAAGACCTATTAGAAAAGGGGGGAAACCTGTGACTGTCCCCAACTGAAGCTAGTTCTTGGGGGGAAATTAATATGAGGGAGAAATGGGGCACATATAGAGATTTATTATGTTTTAAGGCGGTGGAATGTAAAATGAAAAGTCAAGAAGAGACAAAAGAATGGATATCATATTGGATTCAATATCGTCAAACGTTTGAATATTTTTAAAAAGATTCATTAAAAGGTTTTGGAGGTGGAGGGTCGGACATTGAAAAGGAATTACTGAGTGGCAACGAGAAATTGATCTACAAGATGTACAAAGTGTTGCCTGAATGGGAAACAAGATGAGTTGGTAAAATCAACAATGATTCACTGGGCTCTTGGCCCAGGGCATAATATGGAAATGGTTAAGTGTGAAAAGTTGTGGAAAACTGATCTTAATTTTACTGCCTGTAGTGCGCTGAAAGAAAACTATATGAAAATGACATATAGATTGTATATATCACCTGTGAAAATGGCTAAAATATGTAAGAATGCTAATAAACAATGTTAGAAATGTAAAGAAGCTGATGGCACTTTTATTCATATGTAGTGGCTTTGTAAGAAAGCAAAAGCCTACTGCGAAATGATAAATGAATTAAGTAAGATGTTTAAAACGACAGTAGGGGGAAAACCAGAAGCTTTTTTGCTAGGTTTGCTCAGGCCAGAGATACCAAAAATAATGATAAAACTGTTTATGTATGCAACAATTGCAGCAAGGATGATATATGTGCAGAAGTGGAAAAGAAACTGCAATACCCACAAGAGAAGAATGGATTAATAAGTTATGCCAAAATGGCAAAACTAACCACTAGACTAAGAGACTCTAATGATGAGGTGTTTGTAGAAGAATGGAAACCCTTTTCACATTACTTAAGAAAATACTTTAATTCTTTTTCAGTATGAGAGGGATTTATATCTTGAGCAACAGAAGAAGAAGAATATGTTATTTTTAGGTTTATATTTTACAGTTTGTGTGATATTAGAAACAAATGGGCAGTTCAGAGAGTGGAAATATAACATCTTATCAAGTGATATGGGTAAATATCACTTGATAAAAAGTCAGAGAAAAATAAGAATGGTAACATATTTTTTAAAGATGTACTATGTAAAAACTTAATACAATATATATTATATTAAAAAGACGTACATTTACTTCTGACTTTTACAAGAGTTTGACCTAGTGTTCTTTAAAATATTGATACTGGGAACCAGTGACTTCAAACACTTGAATAACGGGAGAGATAACAGAATCCCGTATAGCATGCATTCTTGTTATATGGGACATTGTCAGTTAATGTGCCTTTTCCCAGCATATAAGAAAATTTGCCATTCATAAATAATTCCCTGGATCAGACCAAAGACTCCTGGCTTTATGGTATTTTGATAGGTTTTGGTGATGTGCTCTATATAGTGGAAACCACCAGTAGTGGAGGAATGGGGTAGTGGAAGGGGCAGGGTACACCGGGCAGCATCTACTTTGGGGACGGCACACTGGACCCCAAAGGGCAGCACCCTCCAGCCCCATGCCTGCTACCTCCCCCTCAGCCACCCTGAAAAGAAAGGGCAGGGCTGGCGTCCGCCAGTCACCTCTCCCTCAGCCACCCTTCAGCAGGGACAAGTGGCTCAGCCCCGCATTGCTTTTGCTGCCAGCACACATGCATGCCATGTCCCCCTCAGTTCTGGCAGTGCGCCCCGCCCCACATGCCCCACCCTATAGAACAATGTGCATATGCTGGTGCCCACCTGCCCTGGATGTCACCAGGGCTCCATACACCACTGGAAGCCACGCATCTTTGATACTCTTAGTAAACTCCATTATGTTTTCTAATCTAAAAGACACAAGCCTTTCCTCGTAGAACTGATGCTTCCAACTCTTATAGCAGAAAATATAATAATAATAATAATAATAATAATAATAATAATTGTACCCCAGCCACTCTGGGCAGCTTCCAGCATATACAGAAACATAATAAAACATCAAACATTAAAAACCTCCCTATACAGGGCTGCCTTCAGGTGTCTTCTAAAGGTTGTATAGTTACTTAACTCCTTGACATCTGATGGAAGGGTGTTCCAGAGGGTGGGCACCACTACCAAGAAGGCCCTCCGCCTGGTTCCCTGTAACAGCCTTTCTCGCAGTAAGGGAGCTGGCAGAGGCCCTCAGAGCTGGTCCATAGTGTCCAGGCTGAATGACGGGGGCCGAGGTATTCAGGCAGAAGCCGTTTAGGGGTTTATAGGTCAGCACCAACACTTTGAATTGCGCCCGGAAATGTACAGGGAGCCAATAAACTTATAGAAGCAAACTTATTGTTATCTACAGCAAATAAATATTAGATCATGCCCCCTTATTAGCGTTTGCCAATAGAAAGCAGGCACCGTGCTCAGTGGAATGTATTTGGAACCATGATAGCAACATAACACTATTAAGCCAGTTTATCACTTAATCCCCCAGAACTGAAGATGCAACTGCACCAGATTCCTTCACTGTTGACATTTAGATTGTAAGCTCCTAAGGGCGGGGATTTGTCTTTTCCCCTTATGATACCCTGGAAAAATACAATGTGAAATACCTCTAACTATTGCTTTATAAATCTTCAGACAAACTATGGGAACAAGATGAAGTCAAAACAGATACATCCGCTCCTGTCCTTGACAGTATACAACACTGAGGGTGAAACAAACACAATTTACGTCCCCACCATAACATTAAAAACTGAAGCTGCAGCCCAAATTCAGTTACACTGGTGACCCAAGAAAGTTATTCCTGCCACCAGTTTTTTTTAATTAAAATATGTGTTAGTCCATGGACCATAGCAGAACCTGTCTGCAGTTATCCCTTAATAGCATTATATCAAATATGTACATAATGCTAAATGCTTTGTTTTCAGTACACATTTTTTGCAGTTTTATTCTACAAGGACCCAACTCAGACTACACAAAGGTAGATGGGAGTTTACTGAAAAGAAAAAGGCAGCCCTGCCCCAATTACATCACCACCAACAGGTATAAACTTGCTGTTTGGAGCAGAGAGAAAAACTTCTTGATGTTAAGATTGTGCAATAAGCTCCTCTGAGAGGCGTTTCTCCTTTTCAAAGTTAGTTTTATTGTCCAGCGTCATGAAATGCTTAAACTACTTTTGCTCAGCTCATGTATCAGATTTTTTTAGCTGCTGGTTTTTCCCTCGGGAAAGAGGCAGTAAAAGGGGAAAGAAAGAAGAAAATCTTCATTTCCCCCCTTTTGACAGATTTCCAAAATAAGTAAATTTGCCTGGAAATAAACCTGGCTCCTTGCTCTAAAAACTTCACAAAAGTGAACGGAAGAAGAAGAAAGGGGAAACCACTTACAGATCAAAATAACCACCACAAAACTCTCTCCCACCATCCCTGCTGCAGCTTTCAAACTGGTTTTTCAGCAACAACAGAACACTTTCGTTACAGCTCTTAAACTTAAGCCAAGTGAAGGGAGACGGGGAGAGTGGATGAAACTCCAGGCAAGTTCCTATGAGGTTGACAAGGCTTTCAATCGTAGATTGGGAACCACTTACATTAATAACGTCTAAGCCTTTTTCTTTTTAGGAAAAGCAGAGTTGAAAAGGCACTGGTCTCAACTATTCCTTCTGCTATTCCTTAACTATTCCAGATAGTTAAGAGGTCATTTTAAAAGGTTGGGACAGGGAACCAAGCATACAAACACACTGAACTTGCAAACCTCAAGTTTGGCTGGAATGCTAGTTGCTAGGCTTGGGCATTCCTATGAATCACTGGTGGTTTTCCCCACGTTACAGGAAAAGGATAATGAACTCTGGGCAGGAACCACTTCACAGGGTATTTGGGTCCTTGTGAAACTGACAAAGTCCACACATAAACAACAGACTTCTCTCCACTATCAATTTCTTCGTCTTGGACGAGTCTCTTCCTGTAAAACCCCAGAGAATCATGTGGTACCTTAACAGCAAATAACTTTATTACGACATAACCTTTCAGAAGCTAGGCAGCACTTTAGAATATTAACAAAATAAGAAAAATAACTAGGAAATATTCTGGGACAAGTTCTGTATTGGGGTGGGTGTCACCTCAATGGCAGACAAAGTTGGCTCTCATTCTTAGAAGGTCATTCCAAAGAGGTCACTGGGTATAGTGGGAATGTGTGCCTAACTTGTTCCTGTTGCCTCTGTCCTGTTATTTAAGAAAAGTCTGAAGTCGCCAGCAAGTTACCCAGGAAGTCGGGAAGAAATTGTGGCACTTGTACCACCTCTAGTTTTCACCATATTGAGCTTTCTCTAACAACTGATCGCCATCCCAGTCTCAGCTCCCCACAAAAGGATTACTATTAGCAAATATTATTACTACTATCAAACAATTCTGGCAAATGTTCTATGATAACCTGGGAGGCATCTGATGCAGAGAGCCAGTCTGGAGTAGGGAGCCCAGACCAAGGGCTTCCCTGGCGCCCAGGGCCAACCCCAGAACACAATTCCACAACCCAACAGTGGAATTATCCAAGTCTGGGTCAGCACCGCGGGAAAATAAATACTAACTAATCAGGGGCGCTGACTGCCAAGGAGCATGTGCAAAGCGCCCTCCGGACTAAGCCACGGCACCTCCGGACTCCAGTGCCGAGCGCCGACCCTTCCCCGCGAGCCTCGCCCTCTCCGCGCTCACCTTTCTTCTCGTCGGCGGCGGCGCCGCACAAGCTGCCGGCCAGCAGCCCCACCAGGAGGGCGGCGGCCGCGCGCCTGGCCCCCAAGTTTCCTCCTCCTCCGCCGGCGAGCGAAGCCGAGCGCGCCCCGCAGAGCCCCATCTCCTGCCGGGTGGCTCCTCAGCGAAGCCTCTCGCGCCGGCCCAGGACCATGCCAGGGGAGCGCCGCCTGCCGCGCTCGCTGCTCTCCGGCAGCCGAGAGAAGGAGGAGCGAGGAGAGGCTCTTGGGCCGCCGGACGGGGCGCTTCTCCCGGCAGCCGGCCCCGCTCCAGGTGCGCGGGGAGCCGCTTTGCGCGCGGCGTCGAGGAAGACGCGCCTGCTTGGCTGCCTCTCTTCTCTGCGCCGAACTCGCCGGCAAAACTTTTCCCCCGGTCCGTCGACGCCGCGTCTCCAAGAGCGCAGTCGGCTCCCTCGGAGGATTCCGGCCAAGCAGTGGAAGGAGGCGGCGGGGGAGACTCGGGGGAGAGCAAGGAGCGCGGCTGGCGGCGGCGGCGGCGGCCCGGGAGGTTCGCTCCGCGCTGCTGCCTTCAGGTGGAGCTTCGTACCTGCCCAGCGCAGCCGCTGGTGGGAAGGGCGAGAAATTCCAGTCGGGCGGGCTGAGCTGGGCTGCGCCCCGCGCACGCGCACTCCCCCGCCGCCGCCGCCGCCGCCGCCTGTGGTCCTCCTTATCTGCGGCTGCTGCGACTGCCGCCCCGCCTCGCCGACCTGCAACTTCCCAAGCCCCGGAGATGGTGGAGAGGAGGAAGCCGCGCCGGAGGCAGCGAGGGGTCCCCAGTCCTAGAGCGGGGAGACGAGGGGGCGCCTCCAAGGCAGGCCAGTCCGGCCATCCTGCTTTGCGCATTTCGGCCCGTTTCTTTTCAGGCCACCCTAAGTGAGTTTGGCCTGACCATCCTGTCCCCTCCCTCCCTAAACATTCTGGGCATGGTCATCCTGGAAAGCAGAATTTATGCTTTTATTATCATCATTATTAAATTTATGTACCACCATCCAAAGATCACAGGACAGTTATAATAATAATTCATAATATTACTTACTTACTTACTTACTTACTTATCTGGCCAAGCCTCCCCAGACACTCTGGGCGGCTTCCAACAAAACATTGAAAACACAATAAAACATCAAACATTTAAAACTTCCCTAAACAGGGCTGCCTTCAGATGTCTTCTAAAAGTCTGGTAGTTGTTCATTTCCTTGACATCTGGTGGGAGGGCGTTCCACAGGGCGGGTGCCACCACCAAGAAGGCCCTCTGCCTGGTTCCCTGTAACTTGTCTTCTCGCAGTGAGGGAACAGCCAGGAGGCCCTTGGAGCTGGACCTCAATGTCCGGGCAGAATGATGGGGGTGGAGACGCTCCTTCAGGTATACAGGGCCGAGGCCATTTAGGGCTTTCAAGGTCAGCACCAACACTTTGAATTGTGCTCAGAAACGTACTAGGAGCCAATGTAGGTCTTTCAGGACTGGTGTTATGTGGTCTTGGCGGCCACTCCCAGTCACCAGTCTAGCTGCCGCATTCTGGGTTAATTGTAGTTTCCAGGTCATCTTCAAAGGTAGCCCCATGGTAGAGCGCAGTGGTCCAAGAGGGAGATAACTAGAGCATGCAAACTCTGGCGAGGCAGTCCATGGGCAGATAGGGTCTCAGCTTGCATACCAGATGGAGCTGGTAGACAGCTGCCCTGGACACAGAATTGACCTGTGCTTCCATGAACAACTGTGAGTCCAAAATGACTCCCAGGCTGCACACCTGGTCCTTCAGAGGCACAGTGACCCCTTCAGGACCAGGGAGTCCTCCACACCTGTCCGCCCCCTGTCCCCCAAAAACAGTCCTTCTGTCTTGTCAGGTTTCAACCTCAATCTGTTAGCCGCCTTCCATCCTCCAACCGCCTCCAGGCACTCACACAGGACCTTAATCGCCTTCACTGGTTTAATAATAATAATAATTTATTATTTATACCCCGACCATCTGGCTGGGCTTCCCCAGCCACTCTGGACAGCTTCCAACAAAATATCAAAATACAATAGTCTGTCAAATATTAAAAGCTTCCCTAAACAGGGCTGCCTTCAGATGTCTTCTAAAAGTCTGGTAGTTGTTTATCTCTTTGACATCTGGTGGGAGGGCGTTCCACAGGGCGGGCGCCACTACCGAGAAGGCCCTCTGCCTGGTTCCCTGTAACCTCACTTCTTGCAGGGAGGGAACCGCCAGAAGGCCCTTGGCACTGGACCTCTGTGTCCGGGCAGAACAATAGGGGTGGAGACACTCCTTCAGGTATACTGGACCGTTTTGATTTAAAAGAGAAGTAGAGCTGGGTATCATCTGCATACTGATGAACACCCAGCCCAAACCCCTGAAGATCTCTCCCAGCAGCTTCATATAGATGTTAAAAAGCATGGGGGAGAGGATGGAACCCTGAGGCACCCCACAAGTGAGGTCTGAACACTCATCCCCCAACACCACTTTCTGGACACAGCTCAGGAGGAAGGAGCGGAAGCACTGTATAATGGTCTCCCAGCTCCTCTAGATGGTCCAGAAGGATGTCGTGGCTGATGGTATCAAAGGCCACTGAGAGATCCATTAGAACTTGGAAACAGCTTTCACCTTTGTCTCTAGCCCACCGGAGATCATCAACCAGCACGACCAAGGCAGTTTTACTCCCATGATGAGACCTGAATCCCGTTGGAAGGGATCCAAATGGTCCGCATCCTCCAGGCGTGCCTGGAGTTGTTCAGCAACCACCCACTCAATTACCTTGCCCAGTAATGGAAGATTTGAGACTGGGTGATAGTTGGCCATATCAGCCAGATCCCAAGATGTTTTTTTAAGAAGCGGTTTAATGACTGCCTCTTTCAGTGGATCTGGGAAGGCTCCCTCACAAAGGGAAGCATTCACCACCCCATAGAGCCCATCTCCTAGCCTTTCCCAGCTCGCGTTTATGAGCCAGGATGGGCAAGGATTGTCCAAGCAGCCTGTCCACATCCTCGGAGGTAACAGATTGGAATTGATCCCATGCAACTTGACTAGACAGGACTCTAGCACTCTTCTGCCCTGGCCCTGCCCGCACAGTGGAGTCTTCCTCTTTCCGAATCTCAGCGACTTTATCTGCAAAAAACTTTGCAAAATAATTGCAGGAGATCTTGGAGTCCTTGCCAGGCCCCAATGGTGAAGGTTGTTCTGTTAGATTGCAAACCACCTGAAAGCGCCTCCTGCTGCTGTTTCCAGCAGATGCAATAGAGGGGGTGAAGAAGGTCCTCTTCGCCGTCACTCTTGCCACTTGGTAGGCTCGACACTGAGCTCTAACCCATGTCCGGTCCATGGAGTCAGGGCATTTAAGAGCCAGACAGTTGATAGCCCTGGTTAACTCCGCATTCCAGCAGGCCACCAAGAAATCCGCTGAAAGGCCATCAGCATGGGACAAAACATCCCCTACCACTCTCTGGAACCATTAAGTGGCGGATGCAGACCATCTGAATTGGTTCCACCTCCCTGCAGAGGGGAAGGGTTGCAGAGAAGTCCAGTTGCACCAGGAAGTGATCCAACCATGGCACTTCTTTTGTTTCGCTTTTAATTAGTGTTAGATCACCAACATCCGTAGAGGTAAACACCAAGTCTAAGGCATGTCCGCGGCTATGGGTTGGGCCAGACATATTCAGGGACAGCCCCATGGAGGCCATGCTTTCCACGAAGTCCCGAGCGGCCCCTTGTAAGGTCATGTGGGCATGGATGTTAAAATCCCCCAGGACAACCAAACCAGGTGTCACCAGGAGAACATCTGCCACACCTGAAGCAGCTCGGGCAGGGAATCCTTGGTGCAGCGGGGAGGTCGGTACACCAAAAGGAATCCTGTACTTCCCCTATTGCCCAACTTCCAGAACATGCACTCAGAAAATGGGGGCTTCCCAGTAGGATGCCTGGTGCAAGCTAATGACTTCCTAAAAATCACTGTAAACCCCCTCCCCGCCCACATGACCTGGGTTGCTGTGCATAAGAGAAACCTGGTGGGCAAGCAGCGGCAAGAACAGGCCCATCCGCTTCATCCAGCCAAGTCTCTGTTACACATGCCAGGTCAAGTCCTCCATCCACAATCAGGTCGTGGATGGCAGTGGTCTTATCAGTCATTGACCTGGCATTGCACAGCAGCACCTTCAGGTCACATTACATTACTTTGCCATCTCTTTAAAGAAAATTTCTGAATAAAATTCTGGAATAGGAAACAATCTGATTAAAAAGCAAGGCAGTGGTGGAGTGAGCATTGCCGCCCAGCTGTGGTAGTGCTTTTAAGTATCCCTATAGCATATTAACAATCAGTCTGATTTAGGGAGGAAAGCCTTTTTGTTGCAGCTGCTGCTATTACACATTTGGAAGTTAAAAACCATTGCCCATCTACTATAAATCACTCGGAGATCTTTCAGTAGATCATGTTATGCCTTCTGATCCTCCTTTGTGTAGAGTAACACAGTCACTTAAAGGTAACCTTTCTCACTCTGTATCTGTATCTCTCTCTCTCTCTCTCTTTCTTTGTAGCATCCCAATTTCCTCCCCACTGTCTTCCTCCCTCTCTCTTACACACACATACTCAACACAAACCCAAGATGCATTTGTAGAAAAGGAAGCAATTCACAGAGGAGTGGTCCAGAGCAAGAGTGGGCTAGAGTGTCTGACAGATTGCATGAAATTAGACCAAAATTTATGTGCAGCACATAGGCCAAAACCTCCTCACTACTGGTGTAAAGGAATGTATTTTTCCCCAGGGGAATCCATCACAATTTTAGAAACATCTATCAAGTCATACCACAACTCCCCCCCCCCAACTAAAAACCCAGCAAAGGAAAGAAGCTGTAACAACCGCAGACAGCAAACACATGCACATATACTTCCTGAGTTAAATTCAGTGTTAATTCAACATTTGATTCTAGATGCTGAATGAAACAAAACGGGTTTATGCTGCCTGGTCTCAAGAACTTGCTCTGAATAAAAAGGCCTATGTACTGCTGGTATTACATTTCATATTATGAGTATTTCCGCAAATGTGCACCTTTGGCGCATAGTCTCTCATAGAAGTTGGAACAGGAACAGAGAGGAGTTGCTTTCAGATGCCCAATCCTCTTGGAAACCCATCGGGAAGAGGATCAGGTCCAACTGAGCCCCACGCCTGCTCTCTCCTTGTGAGTATAACATGAGAAGGGGAACATGTTGCGGGGGTCTGTCTCCTTCCCAGTGCCTCGTTTGGAAAT